GCTACTCGGAAGGCTGAGACAGAAGGATCGCCGGAGCCCAGCAGGTCGAGGCTGCGGTGGCTGGGAGCGGCCATTGTATTCCAATCTGGGCGACAGAGTGAGACTCCAACTCAAAAAAAGAAAAAGAAAACATACCACCTTTTCATAATCATACTTCTCCCATTTTACAAATGACATTCTCCTCAACCAACTTCTAGGGTGCACTGTTCCAGTGTAAAAATGTTAAGGCTACTAAACAAGGAAACTCTTAGAAATACTGGTGGCTCCTATCACAGAAACAGAACTGAATACCAAATGTTCTCACTCTAAGTGGACCTTGAACATTTATCATAATACTACAAGAAAGGGATTGGCAGTAGCAGAACACTACCGGGGAGGGAGGGGGACGTACATAACATCACCAAGGGTACCTGATCCTAAACCAGGTGAAGTGAGGACCAGTGGGAAGCCCAAACTTCACCGGTACATAGACCACTTAATGTACCTAATCTTTACTTGTATTCCACATCTGTAAAATAAAAAATATTTTTTTTTTTTTATTTTTTTTTTAATTTTTTTATTTTTTGAGTTGGAGTCTCACTCTGTCGCCCAGACTGGAGTGCAGTGGCCGCTCCCGGCCACCGCAGCCTCAACCTGCTGGGCTCCGGCGATCCTTCCACCTCAGCCTTCCAAGTAACTGGAACTCCAGGCGCACCCTACCACGCCCGGCTCATTTTTTTATTTATTGTAGAGATGAGGTCTCACCTGCCCAGGCGGTAATTATTTATTTTCAAAACTCTTTTAAAAAGTCTAATAGATCATTAAAAATAATTTGTATAATAGATTTTATGATTTTTGGCGTATAGGAGTTAAAACAGACCAGGTGGGGTGGCTCAAGCTTGTAATCCCAGTACTTTGGGAGGGCTAGGTGAGGGAATTGCCTGAGAGCACGGTTCAAGAACAGCCTGGGCAACTTGGCGAGACCTCATCTCTACAATAAATAAAAAAATTAGCTGGGCATTGTGGCATGCACCTATAGTTCCGGCTACTTGGAAGGCTGGGCCAGAAGGATCGCCGAAGCCCAGCAGGTCGACACTGGGGTGGCCATGAGTGTGCCACTGAGAGTCCAACTCAAAAAAAAAAAAAGTTAAAACAATGAGTGACATTGCTCTAACAAAACTTCTATTAATTTACATGGACAAGATATTTCAGTGCTTACATCTGTAAAAAGAAAAATTAAGAATGAAATTGATGCTGAACCCAGTCTCATTTTAAAAATAAATAATATGATTTTATAACATTGTATTATATTTATGTAAGGGGAGGACGTAAACACAGACTCCCGCTACCACAAGTTATGTAGTCAAATTTCCTACATCTAGGGAAATTGAAGGAGTCAGCAAATCTGGAGTATAATGAATAGATCTGACCTGAGAAAACTATCTTCAGGATCAGGGTATCTCCCATGTGAGGTAAGTATTAAATGTAAATAATATTAATCCACAGGTTCTTTTGTTTATTTTTGAGACCAAGTCTTGCTCTATCACCTAAGCTAGAATGGAGTGCAGTGGTGTAATCATAACTCATCGCAGCCTTGAACTCCTGGGCTCAAGTGATCCTCCCACCTCAGCCTCCCAAATAGCTAGGACTACAGGTGTGTGTCACCAAGCCTAGCTTTTATATATTTTGTTTGTTTGTTTTGAGTCATGGTCTCACTTTGTTGCCTGGCAGCAATACTATGGCATGATCATGGCTCACTGCAGCCTTGAAATCCTGGGCTCAAGTGATCCTCCTATCTCAGCCTCCAGAGTAGCTGGGACTATAGGTGCTTACCATCACACCTGGCAAAATTTTTTTTTTTTTTTTTTGAGTTGGAGTCTCACTCTGTCACCCAGATTGGAATGCAGTGGCCGCTCCCGGCCACCGCAGCCTTGACCTGCTGGGCTCCGGCGATCCTTCCACCTCAGCCTTCCAAGTAACCGGAATTACAGGCACGCGCTACCACGCCCGGCTGATTTTTTGATTTATTGTAGAGATGAGGTCTCGCCTGCCCAGGCGGGTCTCGAACCCGCGGGATCAGGCCATCCACTCACCTCAGCCTCCCAAAGGCGCGGGATTACAGGATGAGCCACCAAGCCTGGCTCAAAGGTTTTTTTTTTGAGTTGAAGTTGCTCACTCTGTTACCGAGGCTGTAGTGCAGTGGCACATTCACAGACACTGAATCCTTAACCTGCAGTTCGAGACCAGCCTGGGCAACTTGGCAAGATCTCGTCTCTGCAATGAATCAAAAAATTAGCCAGGCATGGTGGTGCACACCTGTGGTTCAATGTATTTGGAAGACTGAGGTGGAAGGATCACCTGAGCCCAGCAGGTTGTGGCTGAAGTGGCTGTGCACAGCCACTGCATCCAGTGAGTGAGTGAGACTCCGGCTAAAAAAAACATTGCATTATTATACAATTTATAAAAATAACATAGTAATACTGAAATTCTGAGTTTGTCTTCAAGGTGTTCATTCCCCAAGGTATACAGGCAGCATGAATAATTTCAATGCATATGTCAATCTTTGTGCAGTATTCCAGGATGCAAGCATTCAGTATGAACTAAGCTGAGATTCTGTTTTCCCTGCCTCAGGGTAAATATTTTCTTCGTAATATAGAAATGTATGATTAAATATGAATAGTTGATTATATGAATGAAATCTATTTTTCTTTGTAAAACAAACTGATTTTCTCTTAAAGTTTTAGTCTACATAAAAACAACAGCAATAATAACTACCTTACCTGGAGTAGAATATACTCTATTAATAAAATATTAACATATTCAAGTAAAACAAAATAACACCGTAAAAATGTTGATGCTTTTAAGCATAAAGATTCCTTCTATGCTTAAATGGTTTTTATGCTTATTAAACATAAAAATTAAAATGTATATTTCTTTGTACTCATATGTACCCTCTGAGAGAACATTGTAAATCTAGCAAACCACTTGGATGTCCCTTCTCAGGGGACATATAGAGATTGCTGGTGATCAAACAGAACAAAATTATACCAGCACAAAAAAATTTTTTTTTTTTTTAGTTATACTCTCACTCTGTTACCCAGGCTGGAGTGCAGTGACATGCTCACGGCCACAATAGCTTCAAACTGCTGGATTCAGGCTATACTTTTGCCTCAGACTTCCAAGAATCAGGAACTACAGGCATGCACCACCATGCCCAGCTAATTTTTTTTTTTTTTATTGTAGAGATGAGGTCTCACCAAGTTGCCCAGGCTGGTCTTAAATCCATAGCCTCAGGAAATCTTCTTGCCTTGGCCTCCCAAAGTGCTGAGATTACAGACTTGTGCCACTGTGCACAGCCTCACAAATTTTTTTATTTTTTAATTTTTGAGTTGGAGTCTCACTCTGTCCCCCAGACTGGAGTGCAGTGGCCACTCCCAGCCACCGTAGCCTGGAGCTACTGGGCCCGGTCCTTCCGCCTCAGCCTTCCAAGTAGCTGGAATTACAGGCATGCCCAGCTGATTTTTTGATTTATTTTATTTATTTATTTATTTATTTATTTATTTATTTATTTATTTATTTATTTATTTATTTTTGAGTTTGGAACTACAGGCATGTGCAGCCACGCCCAACTAATTTTTTTATTTATTGTAGAGATGAGGTCTCACCAAGTTGCCCAGGCGGGTCTCGAAAGCACTGGGATTACAGGCTGAGCCACCGAGCCTGGCCTGATTTTTGATTTGTTGTAGTGATGAGGTCTCACCAAATTGCCCAGGCGGGTCTC